AGTTTTTTTTTTTTGGTGCCAGTATTGGGCTTGAATTCAGGGCCTGGGCCTGGGCACTGTCAATTAGCTTTTTCTCTCTAGTTTGGTGCTCTACCACTTGAACCACAGCTCCACTCCCCACTTGTTTTGGTGAGTACTTAGAGATATGAGTGTCATGGACTTCCTACCCAGGCTGGTTTTGAACCTCTACCTTCAGATCTCAGCCTCTTGAGTAGTTAGAATTATAGATGGGAGCCACCACAAAATAGCATTTTGATTGCCACTGCACTGGTTGAAAACATCAAAACTGCTGACAGCATTTAGTCTCAGTCCTAGTAACTCCTATTCCCATGCCTGCTCTCCTTCAAATCATGAATCAGACAATGTTATTCACAGGCTTAGATTCTTTTAGTGGCTTCTGATTGCTTTAAGATATACTAAGCATGGTAGACAAGGTCCTCTGTAATCTGGATAAAGTTTCCCTTTCCAGCCCTATTTCTTATTTCTTTCCAAAGCTCTATGCTCTATTTATAGTGCTTGAGGACCATGTGTTTCTCTTACTTCTGTGTGTTTAGTGACATAATTCCTTGTGACTAAAGGTCCTTGGAAAGATCTTCCTCTTCTTTGCTTGGATCTCACCTTCCCACCCCCCTCCCGCCCTCACCTCCTCCACACACCCAATTCCTCATATATGCAGAGGTATAAGCACTTCTTTTCTTTCCTCAGGAGAGTAGACTCTTACATGTTCCTGACATAGCTCTCTTCTGAGAGCTCTAGAGACAGAAGATTGCTTATTTCACTCTTAAACTTCAAAGTCTACTATAAAGTGGAGTACACCCTCAGTGGATATCACTAAGTGAGAAAAGAATGAGTGAATGTTGGACTCAGCTGATGTTGGGTGGAGAACTCTGAATCAGGGGTTACAATTGTTTTATGGGAGTCAGCCATCATTATTATTTTAGGGAAAATGCCTTGTCTACTACTCGGCCACTACTCTCTCCTGCAGCTCTGATTCCTACACTTGTCTTCATAATGATTAAATTGAAGTGAACCCATCCCTTTATTAGCTTGCCAGGGAAGTGGCTCAGTGTGGCCTGACATAAAAAGATGAGCTGGGCTAGATGAATTCTTTTCTTCTGGGATCTAGAATTTGGGAAACAGATTGAAGTAAGTAACAACTCTGGGAATTCAGGTTAAAAGGATATATCTCTTCTAAGAACTGGCAAAAATTATGTAGCAGAAATTGCAGAGTGGCCCTGAAATTTATTCTTATCACTTGTGCAAGGCTAATAATTTTTTAAAGGTTGCTGATATTTGAAAACAACATTTTGCATTAAAATTTGGCTGATTGGGTTTTCTTGTAAACCTAAAGTTGGGTATGTCCAAACCTGACTGGAGCTGAGCAACACTCAGTACACGTGCTTTCTGTAAAACATAGTTCCCACCACTCTGCACTGCTTAATGCCTGACCAGATCTATTCATCCAAGTTACCTGCTGGCCTCTGAAACCATCTTATAATTAAGTTTCCCCCATTTACTTTATCTGCTGAGCCCCCAAAGTTGTCTGAAAACCAGGAGGTGGAAGCAGCTAGTACCAATGATGTGTTATATGCACGTCAACTTCACAGGAAAAAAAAATACACAGAGGAACTTGTTAAGGTGTAGGGGTAGGAAGGAGGGAGATATATAGACTCCAGGAGAAGACAATCAGTTCCAGAGATGCCTAGGGTCCTGCACTTCCCAGTTCCAGAAACTGCCAACTAAAATTCTTTCTCTCTCTCTCTCTCTTCCTTTCTCTTTCCTTCCTTCCTCCTTTACCTTCCCCCTTCCCTCCCTCTCTCTTCCTTTCTTTTCTTCTTTCTCTCTTTCCCTCTTTCTCTCCTCCCTTCCCTTCTTCCTTCCACCCCCTTTCCTTCCTTCCTTTCCTTTCTCTTTCACTTTTTCTCTTCCTTTCTTTTTCTTCCCTCCCTCTCTCTTTCTTTCTCTTTCCCTCTTTCCTCCCTTCCCTTCTTCCTTCCTCCCCCTTTTTCCTTCCTCCCCCTTTTTCCTTCCTTTCCTTTCTCTTTCGTTCTTTCTCTCTTCCTTTCTCTTTTCCCTCCCTCTCTCCCTCCCTCTTTCTTTCTTTCTTTTTCTCTTTTCCTCTTTCTCTCCTCCATTCTCTTCTTCCTTCTTTCCCCTCTTTTTCCTTCCTTCCTTTCCTGTCTTTTTTTCTTTCTCTTCCTTTTTCTTTCTCTCCCCTCCCCCTCCTTCCCTCCTTCCCTCCCATTCCTCCTTCCCACCCCTCCCTATTACCCTCCCTCCCTCTCTTCCTTCCTTCCTTCCTTCCCTTTCTTGTACCAGTATTTGGGCTTCAACTCAGAGCCTCACATTCTCACTCAGCTTTCTTGCTTATGGCTGGCACTGTACCATTTAGCCAACTTTCCTGCCTAGGCTGATTTTGAGTGATGCCTCCAATTCCACCTTTTTGCTAGGTAATTGGATCTAAGTTTCTCAAGGCTTTCTGCATAGGCTTGTTTTTGAACCTCTATTCTCAATTTCAGCCTCTTGGGTAGTTATATTAAAGGTGTGAGCCAGTGGCACATGGCAGGTTGAAATTTTAAATAAATAAATAAATAATAAACAATTGAGACAAAGCTTTGGTATATAGCACAAGCTAGCCTCAAACTGAAGATCCTCCTGTGAAGTTAAATTTTAAATATGACTCCCAAATGTCATTTTTGGCACCTTTCAAAATGCTATTCTGTGATAAAACATTGAAACAGTGAGTTATTCTGTATGTGGATTAGTTGTTACAAACTAAGTATTCAATTAAATGTAGTAGAAAGTCTCTTTTTTGGTAAATTTGGTACAGAAGTTATAATACTAGAAAAGGTTGGCTTGATCAACTGATGTATCTAAGGACAGGACAATAAACATTTAAGAGTTAATAGTTTGTAAGCTATCAAGAAAATCTATACAAATTATGCAATTAAAACAAAAAGAAATCAAGTTTAAAACCAAAGAAGCAACATATGAAATATGCTCATATTCTTTAAAATACATATTAATACTATACTGTTACCTTTTCTTTTTTTTTAAAGCAGTACCATCATTTGAACTTAGGGCCTTGGGGCTGGGAAGGTGGCTCAGTGGTAGAGCGCTTGCCTTGCATGCCTGAGGCCCTGGGTTCGACTCCTCAGCACCACATAAGAAAAAAGCCGGAAGTGGCGCTGTGGTTCAAGTGATAGAGCGCTAGCCTTGAGCTGAAGAGTTGAGGGACAGTGCCCAGGCCCAGAGTTCAGGCCCCACGACCGGACCACGCCCCCCCCCAAAAAAAGAACTTAGGGCCTGGAGCTTGCTCAACAGGTTATTTGTTGGTTATTTTGGAAACAGAGTCTAATGGACTTTTCTGATGCTTATTTTAGAGGCATAGACTTTTCTGCCTGGGCTGGCTTGGAACTGTGGTCTTTTGAATCTTAACTCTCTGAATAGCTAGAATTATAGCTAGTGGGCCAACATTACCTGCTAACTACTGTTACTTTCTAAAGGTGCTGAAGAGATTAAAAGTATAACCATAGGCTATAGAAAACAATGCAACAATCTAAAATAATATAACAATCTATACTTAGGGTCAAAGGTTGTATTGACTTGGAAAAGTCAGAGGGCTCAGATTTAACTTTTGATTATAACACCAAAGCAGAAAGTGATACAAATATAACAATCATCATTTACTATATGACACTGTGAATAACTGGACAATTTTATCAGATCAGTGATGTTATCTTTGTTTTAAGGTAAGAAAGCTAGGAGATAAGTCCAGGCAGTTTGACTCCATACAGATTGTCATTGAGAGCACTATAATGTTAGAATATCCTACTTATGTATTTTCATAAATACATCCAAAGATGGTTGACTTAAAAATATTTACTTAAGCCGGTGTCGGTGGCTCACACCTGTAATCCTAACTACTCCGGAGGCTGAGATCTGAGGATCACGGTTCAAAGCCAGCCAGGGCAGAAAAGTCTGTGAGACTCTGATCTCCAATAAACCACCAGAAAATCGGAAGTGGCACTGTGACTCAAGTGGTAGTGCTCGCCTTGATCTGAAGAGCTGAGGGACAGCGCCCAGGCCCAGAGTTCAAGGCCCAAAAAAGACAAAATGCCTGCCCTGCAGAATTGTGAGGATTGAGTGCTTCTAGAAAAACTGTTGCTCAGGACGATAGTTTTTGCAAAGTGGAATATAAAGATTCTGTTGGTCTGAACCTTAGCATCTAAGAACAGTCAAAAACTACTGGGAGAAGAGCTAGGGGGAATGGCTTCTGTGGCTTTAACTGCTGTTCCTCCATACCAAAAACCCTCTCTCACTCCCGTCGAAGGCCTTCCAATCCTTTCATGAGTCCTAAATGTCAGTCTTTCAGGAAGTGGTCTCAGATTATATAAAAAGATGTATGTGGGAGCAAGTTCCAAATTAGTAAGCGATGGAACCAATAAGTGAAACATGGACTTGATTATTACAATTGCCCTCCCCTTTCTCTTGCCTTAGTTCCCCTACACTGACAGGAGGTGGTGGCTTGGTTACGTCTTCCTTTTATAATTTCTGCTCTTGCATCTTCAGATTTCAGCCAAAGCTGCTTTAAAGAGGAAATCTCCTTTTCAGACCTGCAGGAGGCGGCTCCTCGGCGCTAGCAGCTCAGCAAGGCGGGGCTGGGGAAACAGAAGAGGCGGGGGCTGGGGGGGGGTTGGGGAAAACGCTGGGCGCAGCCACGTGACTTCCTTCCCAAGGAGCCTCAGCTGCCGGCCTCCCAGCAACCGCTGCATCCCGCCTAACAACGGCTGCGTATCCTGGTTGGCTGTCGGGTGCGGTTGTGGCAAGGAGGTGCCTACGGTCGCGTTGCTCATTGGCTAGGATTACCGTCGTTCAGAGGCGTTGCACGAGCGCCCGCGGGCGGTCCTGCCGGAAGCCCCTCCCACTGGCCGCCGGGTTTGTGGCTGGCTGGCTGCGACTGTCACTCTGGGGCCGTTTCCCCGAGGCCGGCGCTCAGCTGGAGGCGGGAGGAAGAGGGGCCGGACTGGGGCCTGAAGAGCCGTCGCCGTCTCCGCGGCTGCTATGACCAGCGGGCGAGCCGCCCTCCGCAGCTCCGCGCACAGCTAGTCGCGGCCGCGCGCCCGTCGAAGCCGTCCGGGTCCCCCAGTGCCGCCGCTCCCGCGGCCCGCTCGGCTCTTCCAGCGCCGCCCGCCAGGCGAGGCGGAGGTGGGATGAAGATCACCGTGGATTTCGAGGAGTGCCTGAAGGACTCGCCCCGCTTCAGGTAAGCGGCACGGCCGCCCGGCGCTCGGCCGAGGTCTCCCCGGAGCTGCCTCGCCCCGCCGTGGGGCCGTGTGAGGACCGGCGGGGCCGGGAGCGAGCCGGGCCCGGCCGTCCGCGCCTTTCCGACGGGGCCAGCCACCGTGGCCGCCGCTGCACAGCCGACGAGGGCACCGCGGCCCCGGACTGGCCCTTCCCGAGGGACGAGGCGTGGCCGGGAGGAGGACGTCGCCGCTTCGCCCCTTCTCCGCGTCCCGGGTTTGGGGTGGACCGCCCCGGGGCCGGGCGCACCTCCTTTGGGCTTGGGAGGGGGTGGGGATCGGGGCGCTGCTGTGTTCCTCAAGTCCTTTGGCGAGCGCGCGAAGCTTCGCCCCCTTCCTCTTCCAGGGGCTCTTCCTTTCCTCTTCCTTCCGCTCGGTCTGGATTTCCACCCCCTCTCCCCTCTCCACCCGCTTTCCAGCGAGCGAGTGTGCGAGCGTTACCGGGCATCCTCCGTGCACTCCACTTAGTTCCTCTTTGCGCTTTTCCGCCCCTCTTCCCCGGGGGTGGGGGTGGGAGGAAGGAGTGGGGGGCGATCGGGGACATCTGCTTCTGCTTCTGCTTCGTCTCCCAACCCGAGTGGCGTTCTGGAAAGTGCTGGTGGTGGTTCATTTGTTCGGGAGTCGGGGTGGGGTGGAGTGGGGGTGGTGGTGGTGGCTGTCACCATGCGCGTTCCGTGGACCCTAGTCGGTGACTTGACTGCTCTTCTCTCCCGCATAAGCTCTTTGAAGAAGAAAAGGCTGCCGTGGTACTGGGGCGCAGGATGAGGATTAGAGAACCCGAGCTTTTCTGTTTTGAGAACGGAAGTAGGAGTGCCCTGAGGATTGCTCTTCTGTTCCTCTTCCCGCAGCCTCGGCCCTGAAGGGGCCTGGATTACTGTCGGATGCTCCCAGTGGATCGGTCACATGAAGTGATCTGGTGGCATTCTGTGATTCACATGGACTGCCCAGCCTCCTGTGTGAGAGGTGGCAGTCCTCAGGAAGTCCGGAATACATGCTCTTTTCTTTCTAGCATTGTAGGAAACTGTTGAATTGCCTTTTTTTTTTTTAAATTTTAAGAGAATGGAGTTTTTCTAGGTTGTAATTTGTAGTGTATTGATAGGGGTAGTGCTAGGCCTTAAAATAAGACTTCTGTTAGTGCAATTTCTTGAGAAAGCTTCCTTCAAACATTGTGTGTGTATGTATGTATGTATATGCACACGCATGCACTCATCTCCCTGCCAAGCCTGGACTGTTAATTCTGCCCAGGAACTAACTGTTTCCATGCTTATCACTATTCATTCAATTTCCCATTCTTTCAGTGAAAAACAGGGAAGGAAGTGAAAATGTAAAACGAAGAAACTTACTAGAGAAGTTTGAAGAACACTGTAATTGGTGATCTTTTCTGGGTGTTAATTTTAATTGGAACTTAGAGCTATTACTTGGTTTGATTACTACATTTGATAATAAATTTTGCACCTTTTATGATCAGGGTTTAGGGGAACATAAATGGATTGTTTAGGACAGCCTTGTAAATTAGTTTCCAAGGCAGAGTGGCAAATTAAGTAATTTTTAGAGTACCATAGAAAGTTCTACTAATGTGGTCAGAAAGTTCTGTTAATGTGATTTAAAAAAAAAATTTTTTTTTTTGGGTCCGGTCGTGGGCCCTGAACTCTGGGCCTGGGCGCTGTCCCTCAGCTCTTCAGCTCAAGGCTAGCGCTCTACCACTTGAGCCACAGCGCCACTTCTGGCTTTTTTCATTTTGTTTATGTGGTGCTGAGGAATTGAACCCAGGGCCTCAGGCATGCAAGGCAAGCGCTCTACCACTGAGCCATCTTCCCAGCCCCTTTTTAAAAATTTTTAAATGAATTAATGTGCTTTTCTTTTTAGAGCATGTAGCTTTGTACTCCCTTGGTTTCATGTTTTAAATCTGATAAAATGTTGAGAGGAATGATTTGGAAATACTTCTAGTCATTGATATTGGTCGCAAACTATGTGATGCTTTTGCTTTTAAAATTCAGGGAATTATTGAGTATAAAATATGGTCATTAAATTATATGGCATAGTATAGCAAACTCTTGTTAGATTGGAATGTACTATTAGTTAAGATAGAGGGGTTCAGAAGTTGTTTCTAGCATTCTAATTATTGTCAATTTCAAATTGGGAAGAGATACCAAGATAGTAAGAATCCCAGCATTTGAGAATAGATTAGATTGCAGCAGAGGAAAAATTCTCATTATTCATACTCTCAATATATTTTTTTATAACTTCACTTCTATGCAGTTCTAAATAGTATATGATGAGTGTTTCAGAGGAGTATATGATGTATATATTATAGTATCAGCATAGTATCATAGTATATGTATCATAATATGACACATATAAATAGTATACAATGTGTATATCAGAGACTTAGGTATTATGTAAGTTATGAGTGATATATTAAAGCATGTCAAAATAGAAAATTTGTGAGCTGTGCATTCCTATAATCCCAACTTCTTGGGAGATTGAGGTGGTGGGATGATGAATTGGAAACCCTCTTCCTTCTCTCCTCTTCTCTCCTTTCCTCTCTTCTCCTCTCCTCTCCTCTCCCCCCCCCCTCTCTCTCACACACACACACAAATAAGGAAAGGAAGAAGGACTGATTTTGTAGTTGGATAACTAGCCAGTTTACTTTTAGTGTTTGGCTCTATTCTCTCTCCCTCTACCAAAGTGGTTTCAATTCAGCATGTCATTTCCCACCCCCTCTCCCCCTTTTTTTATGCCAAATCCTGGGGTTTGAACTCAGGGCCTAGGTGCTGTCCCTTAACTTTTTGCTCACAGCTAGTGCTTTTACCACATTCTCTTTGAGAATTTTGATGGTTATTGGAGATGTCTCATGAACTTTCCAGGAACATAATTCCTCAGATCTCAGCCTCCTAAGTAGCTAGGATTACAGGCATAAGCCAATGCCTGGCATTAAACATGTCAATTTCTGAGTGCAATGCATCTTGCTCTGTTGTGTTGTCTTTATGTCTTATTTTTATTTCCTTTCACAAATGAATATTGTTGCATTTAGATTTGGCATCTGGCATGTACATGTAACTTCAAAAGGCAGATCTTTTCTTGTTAAATGGTTAAAGAAATAAAGGTGTGTGTGAAGACTGGCTCAGATAAGGAGAAGAAAATGTTGTAGTTGCGACATTGTGTTTGGTAATTGGAATAAACATTCTAGTGAAAGGTTATTTTGTTTTTTGTCTTTAGATTGGAGGACACACATTTCATTGTGTACTTTTGGAGTTTCTTTTTTAGTTTTTTTAAACACCAGAGTAAAATTAGCTTAAAGGTCAAAACTTGTACTTTGAAAAATCTATAAGACTGTAAATATGTCTAAGAATTTTTTGTTTTTACTGGAACTTTACATTTTGATTGACATTCCATGAAGTTAGATTTTGGGCACTAAATTATATTTAGTTTAGAATTTTGTAAAATCCCAACAGGAATAGTGAAAGGGGTGACATCATTGAAGACACATTGCTTTCATAACTGATTTGTTGAATGGTTAACTCTTTTGCACGCTTACAATTAAAAAAATTTCCAATAGTTGGAAGGCCCTGGAAGGAGGATTTTAGGTTCTAGGTTAAGATGTGCTACATAGCAAGATACCGGCTCCAAAAAAAAAAAAGGTGTTTTCATTACTAAAAATATTTTGATTGACTTAGGAAATGTATATTTTGTTTGAAATAAAAAGTTGAGAGGCCATATGTGATAGTGCATGCCTGTAATCCTTGTACTAGGGAGGATAAGGCAGGAGGATCATGACTTTGAGGCCCCCTTTGACTGCATAGGATGACTTTGTCTTGAACACATATGGACACAGACATGGACACGGACACCCTTTTGCCCTCAGACACACACAAGCTAAACAAACAGTAAAAGTAACAGGAAGTTGAATTGTATTTCTTCTGAACTGTGAAAGTTTTCTTGCCTCTGAGCAGTGCTCAGATACAAACAATATTTGCTTTTCAAACACTGTAGTCTTATTTATTTTTGATTAGCATGACAGTTCTATAAGGAGGGGTTCATTTTTCCACACATGTAAACAATGTTTCACAAATCAACCTCACTCCCTTCACCACTCTTCCTTCTTAAAATAATTTCATTAGGTCAAATATTATAGTCTTTATCTGATATATTTATTTATTTATTGTTTTGGTTTTGTTTTATTGTGGTCGGTCATGGGTTTTGAACTCAAAGTCTGAGCTTTTTCACTCAAGGCTAACACTCTATACTTTAAGCCACAGCACCGCCTCTGGCTTTCTGGTGGCTAATTGAAGATAAAGAGTTTCATAGACTTTCCTGACCTGGCTGGCTTTGAATCATGATCCTCAGATCTCAGCTTCTTGAGTAGCTAGGATTATAGGTGTGAGCCACTGCTCCTGAACCTTACATTTAGGTTTTAAAAAATTGTTACTCTCCATTGTACACTATCTGTTGCAATAACAGCAGAATTAAAAAAAAAGTGACGTTGGTTTAATGGGTGAATTGGAATGTTATATGAGTATATACTTTGTTTATTTATTAAGCTGGTACCAGTCCTTTGTTTTGCTATTAAGCTGGCTGATTTGCTACTTTACATTTCATTTTTATAACATGTAAGCTTTTCTAACAGTTGGCATCTAATATATTGAAAACGCAGTAGACAAAGTACATGACCCTGATATTCCTACTGAATCTTCATTTGATATATGATCAACCTGAAGTTCTCTACAATATGCTAGAACTGGACTTTTTTTTTTTTTTGTCAGTGAGCTCTTTAGCTCAAGGCTAGCACACTACCACTTGAGCCACAGTGCCACTTGCCACTTGTGGCCTTTTTAAAATTTTTATTTTTTTTGGGGTGGGGGTCCAGTTGTGGGGCCTGAACTCTGGGCCTGGGCGCTGTCCCTCAGCTCTTCAGCTCAAGGCTAGTGCTCTACTACTTGAGCCACAGTGCCACTTCCAGCTT